TTATCGTTTTCGTACATTATTGACTTTGGCTATGGTTCATCGTAACTTGGCGTCCTATATCCTTAAAACTCCCCCTGAGTCATATAGTCCTCGATGCCGAGGCTGCTGACAATATGCTATCTACCCGTTATATCTAGCGCATTCCTAACGGCAACAATGAGCAGTTTAGTCTACGAGATGGCCATCTAACCTCAAGCAAAATTTAATCCAAACAATGAAGCAGATAATTAGTAATAGACTTGACAAGTTGTTACTACTGCCGTAATTGTTGGTTGTCAGTTCCTACAAGACACTATTAGTATACACTTAGCTCCAAAGAGCACACCATGTTATCGGTGACATTCAGACTTTACAGCGAACTCTATGTACGTATAGATTCTCGAGCAATAGTCGGCTGCTTATGCTGAAACAGAGTCCCTGGGAGATGATCTATTGACGTCAATGTTTAATCGATATAACTTAAGGACAGCACGAGGACAACACTCTCTTGTTGTACGATTGAGTTATCTATCAGATGTTTCATAACGCACGCTATGCAAAAAATCTTAACCTTACCCGCGCGTAAATTTCGCGCAAATACCAGACGAGGAAGCGCACTGGCGATGCGCAAGTTTGTAAATTTGAGTCTATCTTCGTTTCGTGGATTCTGGAGTCTCTGTCTTTACTCCGATTGTTCGCGTTTTTTAAAAGTTAATGTATTGACATTTATGTAACTTGATTCGCAGCACGTCCGATACCCACCGAGAAATGTTCAAACAATATGCACTTTTTGCGTTCGATTTTTGTCTTAAAAATCGTCGTGTTTTCGTAAATCCGCGCAAACTATGCAAATTAGGTAGTGTTGAGGTTAACCACAAAGTGCGCAAATATTTTTCTAAGGTATTACCCGCTGCATATACGCAATGAGCCATTGCTGGCATTTTAGAGCGGTCAACTGAACGCAAAGAGTAGACTCTTTGTCCTTTGTTTTAGCCACACTTATGGTAAACAAAGTATTCGTTACACACAGCTTTCATACTGACATAGCGATGTCGAAATGCGTTTCTTCCAAGTTATATGGTTAAATTTACGGGAAATTGTTAGTTCTAGTACTGGTAGTATCTACTTGTGAATCATTGAGTGGAAAGAGCTTATTTTGGAGTTCTCAACTGGGGTCAAATTGATATATCATATGCATTGTTGCTGCAGGATGGTTTACACAGCATTGTATTTCAAGGTTGGATAATATTTTCAGGGAGTATTGCGTGTTTACATGCTGGTATGTTTGCTTGAAGTTTTTCTACGAGCGGTCCAAGATTATCTTCATTCTGTGGTTACTATTACTGCGATTGTGGTTTTAATAGTTGTTAATTAAGAAGTGCTTGAAATATTGAAAGGTTTACGTACCTACTCGGCAATACGCCAATGAGGTAAGTCAGCACATGCATTTATCATACTTCATTCGTACAATTAAACTAAACTATTCTAAACTAAAAACTGGTTTACACTATTAAAGTTTCTGTGATCACAGTAGGAATTTTGCATATAGGTAAATTCTATAAGTTTTGAATGATTTGTAAGACATTTTCGAGGCAAATGACCCATTGTTTAACAATGAGTCAGTTCCCCTCAAACATTTCTAACAAATTCTTGAAAACTTAGAATTTACCTATGGCTATGAAATTTTATTTATACTGGATTGCTCTGTTAGATTTATACAGTTCATCCTAGAGGTCCAGTTTAAATCGCCCATCCCTTATTAGTACAGTTTTACAACGAAAGAAAACCGAAGCTATATATTCAATCTATTGATATTGGATAGCTCTATCAGTTCTAAACTGTTCTTTTTTAGAGATGCAGTAAGTCGAGTGAATTCACTACTTTATCATGTCCAGTTTATGTTAGCACAGTGTTAGTGTGCATCACAGCCCTATAATGCTATATATACAATCTATACTAACTTTACCTTAAGAAAACCTACAAGCTTCAATGAAATTTAGCCCTGTTAGGACTTTGTAGTGCTAATAGAATTTCTCTTCGAAATTTACATTCATATGGACTATATTTATATTATTGAGTTTTTGAAGAGCAGTAACAATTTTAAGAGGTTGTCACCAGAATCCATTTCCAGCAGCGAACAATTTTATGAAATACAAAACGAAACACTATAGACCCTTTAGGTATAATAAAACACGCACAGCGAAGTTTTAAATTGCTTCAAAAACGATCCATCCAGGGAAATCTCTATCACATATAAAGATACGACACGCTTATGATTTTTCTTTGTTTTTTTCCTCGTGAATTATTAATGCGTTTTTGAAGTACTTGGGCGCTTTCCATTTAATGGTCTGACCGGTCAGACCTGAATTTTTGTCTCTGTATCAATGGAAAGATCTGGTCTATGTTTCACAAATATCTAGTGAAAATGGACCTCATTCTAATTTTATCTAAATTCTCCGGTCAGATAGGTCCGAAGCCCAAACGTTTTGTGTTCCATTCAACTATTTGACCGGTCTGGCCGTGTAAATGGAAAGCGCTCCTAGTTAAAATTTGAGGTAACTCTTATTTTGAGGTATACATTTTTTATAGTTTAAAACGAGTCTTGGGCACTGATCGAAGCATTGCATGGGTAGAATAGAAAATAAAAAGAAAGTTTTATTGTTTAAAATTGATCATATATGTGCATGTATTGTACTGCCGTGGTTTGTGTGTAATTGTGTTCGAGTCCCAATTGTTACCTAACTCCTCTATATAATAAACAGGGTTCGTACAAAACTTGAATGTCCTTGAATTTGAAAACAAAAATTCAAGGCTTTGAATGTCCTTGAATTTGTAAAGAAGTGCTTGAGTGTCCTTTAATTCTTCTTGCTTTAGTTTTTGGATATTTTCTGAAATTGTTTGACATTCAAGACGGACATTTTGTTGAACTGATTTTGCATGTTCATATCTGACCTCATTATAATGTTACGTTTTGAACAATTCAACGTCAGATTTTGCTGATTTCTAACGCCTTCAGTCCTTGAGTCCTTCTTTAGTCCTTGAATTTGCTGATACATGGCCTTGAATGTCCTTGAAAAGTCCTTGAATTTGACTCTTCCTGACATGTACGAACCCTGAATAAAATGTCATAAAATATTACAACAAAGCCAAAGGTGAAAAAAAAAAAGATAATACCATGTAAATGACAGATATACACGAGTGAAGTGGTCCACCACCGCTACTTACAGTGTAAGGATGTGTTAAGATCGATTTACACTGCCCAACTTTTGCCTAAAACTGTCGCATGCAACCTGCTCACAACTTGAGTTGTACTGTGTAAATCAATGACACAACTCACTTACGACAACGTAGATGAGTTGTGTGTTTGATTTACACAGTACAACTCAAGTTGTAAGCAGGTTGCATGCGACAGTTTTAGGCAAAAGTTGCGTAGTGTAAATTGGCCTTTAGTGTACACACGTAAAACTCTCGCATCTTGTAGCAAGTCTGCCAACAAGCCGTCAACAAGTTGTGTTCGCACTGCTTGTCCCAAGTTGTGGACAGGTATGGAACAAGCTGGTAACAGTTGCAACAACTTTGTTGATAATTATTATCAGACTTGTTGCAAGGTTGTTCCAACAAGTCCGATATGACATAACAATATTGTCACAACCTTGTAACATTCTTGTTATATCATGACATTCCCAATTGTTGTAACAAGTATCGAACAACTTGTTAACGGTTCTAACAACCTTGTTGATATTATCAGACTTGTTGCAAGATTGTTCCAACAGTGTGACAATATTGTTACAACTTTGTGTCGTCAACCATATAACATTTTTGTACTAGTATCAGACTTGTTAGAACAACCTTGTAACAAGTGTGATAATGACATCAAGCAAAGTTACAAGTTGTTAACAGCTTGTTCCAAACTTGTTACAACAACTGGGAACAAGCAGTGCGAACACAACTTGTCGACAGCTTGTGAACAGATTTGTAACAACTTGTTTGCAGAACTGGAACAACTTGTGCGTTTTTACGTGTGTAGCTAGCTATATGCCAATAATAAGAAGGCTGCAGATTTTTCAGGGATAAAACTACCTGAAAAATACAAGGAGAACTTCGACTTTTTCCAGGTAGTTGTATCCCTATCAATCCCCCCCCCCCCATCTTTCTGCTTTCCAGTTGAGCGTTCTCATACCTGCGTGCATGAACGGAAAGTTTAAATCTTTCCGCTATAAATACTAAAAACATATTAAGTCATACGCAAAACTGAAGGCTGTCTTTCTATTCATTCATTTATTTCGTTATTTCATCAGTACCATTTAAATGGAATTAGACTTTTCCGTCAGTTCACATAGATAGCATAGTCTACACACGCAAAAATCTCACATCTTGTAGCGCGTCTGCCAACAGCCGTGAACAAGTTGTCTTCGCACTGCTTGTCCCAAGTTGTCAACAAGTTTGGAACAAGCTTTTGACAACTTGTAACAACCTTGTTGATATTATCAGACTTGTTGCAAGGTTGTTCCAACAAGTCCAATACAATGATGATATAACAATGTTGCTACAACCTTGTGTCGTCAACCTTGTAACATTCTTGTTATATCATGACTGTATCAGACTTGTCAGAACAACCTTGTAACAAATCTGATAATGCCATCAAGCTTGTGACAAGTTGTTCACAGCCTGTTCCAAACTTGTTCCAAACTTTTTATGACAACTAGGAACAAACAGTGCGAACATATCTTGTCAACAGCTTGTCAACAGATTTGTAACAACTTGTTTGCAGACCTGTGATAACTTGTGCGTTTTTACGTGTGTACCTTTTGTTGATTACAGGGTGTACAATGCGTAAATGTCATGACAAATGGTGGACTTGAATTTTGGCATATAATTGTATAATTCTGTATGCATGATGGTAAAGTTTTCCACAGTTCGGCCTTTCTACACAGGTCTGCAGTAGTTGTCACAGATCTGCAAACAAGTCTCTTCAAATTTCCAAAAATCTCAAATCTTGTAACAAAGTTTGTCAACAAGTTGTCTTCGCACTGCTTGTCACAAGTTGTGAACAGTTTTGGAACAACTTGTTGACAACTTGTAACGACCTTGCCGAAATTATCAGACTTGTTACAAGGTTGTTCTGACAAGTCCGTTACATGCTTGATATAACAAATTGTTACAACCTTGTGTTGACAACCTTGTAACTTGCTTGTTATATCATGGCCGTAAAAACTTGTTAGCACAGTCTTGTAACAAGTCTGATAATGCCATCAAGCTTGTTGCAAGTTGTTAACAGCTTGTAACAAACTTGTTGCAACAACTGGATACAAGCAGTGCGAACACAACTTGTTGACAGCTTGTGAACAGACTTGTAACAACTTGTTTGCAGACTTGTTACAAGCTGTGCGTTTTTACGCGTGTAATAAAAATGATTTCTTTTTAGTAATCCTGAAAGAACCAATGGTAGTTAAGCATTTTTTGTCCTTGTGTTTCCCTGTTGTACGCACATAAAAACGCACAAGTTGTCACAGGTCTGCAAACAAGTTGTTACAAATTTGTTCGCAAGCTGTCGACAAGTTGTGTTCGCACTGCTCAGTTGTTCCCAGTTTTTTGAACGAATTTGGAACAAGCTGTCAACAGCTTGTAACAAGCTTGATGGCATTATCAGACTTGTTACAAGGTTGTTCTAACAAGTTTGATACGGTCATGATAGAACAAGAATGTTACAAGTTTGACGACACAAGGTTGTAACAATACTGTTATATCAAGACTGTATCGGACTTGTCGGAACAACCTTGCAACAAGTCTGATAATATCAACAAGGTTGTTACAACAGTTAACAAGTTGTTCCATACTTGTTGACAACTTGGGACAAGCAGTGCGAACACAACTTGTTGACAGCTTGTTGACAGACCTGCTACAAGATGTGAGATTTTTGCGTGTGTATGTGTTCATCAAGTAACCATATCTTTTGTATGTTTTAGGTTGTTTATGGATTTATGTGCATTTATATGGACTTATATGGACTTATATGGGCTTATATGGATTTATATGTGGATTTACCTCATGGATAAAAGAGGATTGAAATTTATTATGCCTATTGGTAAAAGGATCTCAAATTTTACGTGATGGATTTATTATAGTGTGGATTTACTCGTGGATGTTAATATGCGTTGTTTATTTTTTGTGTATGGATGCTGGAAATCTTTGGTTTCAGGTTTGTCAATTTTTTTTATATTTCAGAAAGAAAGAAAGAAAGAAAGAAAGACAGACAGACAGACAAACAGATAGATGGACAGACGGACTGACAGACAGACAGACTGACTATTTGGTGAACGGCACTGCTTTGTAACTAGACCATTCTCGTACCCAGAGCCCTTCTTACGCGCGGTGCGACGAGGGGCTCTGGCCAAATCCATATTCCGAACTGGCATCTGATTGGCTAGTTCTAACACCGGACATTGTTTTCTTACCATGTTTTTATGGTATCCGGTTATGGATTTGACCAGAGCCCCTCGTCGCACCGCGCGTAAGAAGGGCTCTGGGTACGAGAATGTAACTAGACTTGCTCCAAGTCTCTCTTTCATTGTCAAATTGTATCGATCCACTATAGTGTACATTACATGACGTAGTACGGAGGGGCGGAGCGAGAAAGAGAGACTTGTCAACTTCGGAAAATCTCGAACTGAAAATGTAAGACTTGCTTTAATTGTTTTCCGTAAGTGTTTATATGTATTGATCTAGCACAGTGTAAATAACATGAGTTCCGTTATAGTAAATAATACAGAAAGAAATTGAAGGAAAACAATTAAAGCAAGTCTTGCATTTTCGGTTCAGTTTTGAACCGAGATTTTGCGAAGTTGACAAGTCTCTCTTTCTCGCTCCGCCCCTCCGTACTACGTCATGTAATGTACACTATAGTGGATCGATACTATGTGACAATGAAACAGAGACTTGGAGCAAGTCTACTTTTGTAACAAGTTGAGAGAGTCGAAACATACACATATAAAACTTGGGCTTAAGCCAGGTCCGTTTACACTTGCAGTTTTTGCTAAGATTTCTAGTGCGATGTTCTGCTTCTGATGAATGTGAACGAGTAGATGAGCTATGAATATTCTGAGAAAATGTACCCTGGCTGAGCATTCATAACTCATCCACTCATTCACTTCCATCAGAAGAAAAAATCGCACTGGAAATCGCAGCAAAAGCTGCAAGTGTAAATGGCCCTTTAGGCCTTTACAATTTTCATTATGCTTACTGTAACACCGGGTGTCCAAAACTGGACACTGTTTGATTTCATGTAACGTAAAAGCTATAAAAGCTATCGCAATGAAGCTCATTGCGTTCAGAAAGGACTAACTTTAATTTTGATATATAGCACTTGAATTTACATGCAATATTTATTGAGCGAGATACAACTGTTTGAATTTGGCATGCATTTTAGGAATTGGTGAAAACTCGTTAAAACTTGGCTGTTTTATGCCAATTTGTGGCATTTTCAAAAACAGTAGTTGAACGTTCAAACATCAATAGCGCAGTCAATATTGCATATGTCAAAATCTAAGTTAGTCCTTTCTGAATGCAATAATCTTTATTTCATTGCGATAGCTTTTATACCTTTTACGTTACATGAAATCAAACAGTGTCCAGTATAACATACCGACAGATAAGAACTTAAAACACAAAGAAGTCCAGGTTTCATGGAGCATACGCCACAAGCTAATGAAAATCGTACCGTACACCAAACTGCGCAGAACGATCAACGATGTGAGATATGCAAACGTTCTCAGGCACGTAGCGAAGAATTTGACGTTCTCAATTTCTAGCACGGTCGAGTACTAATAATTAACGCTTTTCCTCCGCTTAAAATATCTATATGTTGCAATCAAAACAAAAAACAAAATTGCAATCCTATACAAAATTGAAAGAGAAAATAAGATATGCTACCTCGCAGGAGATTTTAATGTTGACCTGCTTAAATCGGAATCTTGTGATTTCTCAAATAGATTTATCGAACAGCTATTTACTTCTTCTTTTTTCCCACTAAAAACCAAACCAACAAGAATTACTGCTCACACTGCAACACTCATTGACAATATCTACACAAATGACACTGAGAAAATTTAATAATAGTATTAATGGGATTATTTTAACTGATATAACAGACCATTTACCAATAATTCATATGTGCAATATGGACAATTATAAACAAATTAAGTCAACAGACAAAACTAGATATATGCAACTTATCATTTCTTAGCGGAATCATCCCTGACAAATTGAAAATTGCTGTAGTTACACCAGTTTTCAAGGCAAACGAAGCTAATAAATTTGAAAATTACCGACCAATATCCGTACTATCATGCTTCTCCAAACTATTAGAAAAAATCATGTACAAGAGACTTATCAAATTCATTGACATTTGACAAAAACAAAATTTTATCAAAGCATCAATATGGGTTTAGGAAAGATAGATCTACTGAACATGCATTAATTAATTGAACTTATTGATGGAATTACTAAAGCGATTGATCAGGGAAAATACACCATAGGTATTTTTCTTGACCTATCAAAGGCGTTCGACACTATTAATCACAAGATTTTGATTAAAAAGTTGGAGCGTTATGGTGTTAGGGGTATTAGCATGAAATGGTTTGAAAACTATCTGTCTGGTAGAAAACAAGTTGTCAAATTTAATCAAATTAATTCAGAACAAATGGAAATTACAAGTGGTGTCCCACAAGGGTCTACATTGGGACCACTTCTGTTTCTACTATATATTAACGATATTAAAAATTGTAGCAACATTATTTCTGTTATATTATTTGCAGATGACACAAGTATATTCTACAGCCACAATTGTCTTAAAACACTAAATAAAATTATTCAACAAGAACTCGATAGAGCTCCTATTTGGTTAAATGTCAATAAACTTTCCATTAATACTACAAAAACAAAATTCATATGCTTCAAAACAAAAAAGAAAAGACATAACCATAGAATAGAAATTTCAATAAACGATCAAAATATTGAACAAGTTAATCAAACTACATTCCTCGGTGTTATTATTGACGAAAACGTAACATGGCATAGTCATTTGAATCTGATCTACAAAAAGATTATGAAATCCACTGCGGTTATATCTAAGATTCGACATTTCACAAATTTAAACACTAGAAAACTACTTTACTATAGCTTAGTCTATCCATATCTTACTTATGGCAACTTGATATGGGGTAATACATATAAAAAGAGAATTAAAAAACTAATAAATATCCAAAAAAAGATAATTAGATTAATTACATTCAAATCATACACTGAACACACCGAGCCCCTCTTCAGAAACCTGGGGATATTGAACTTTGAAAATATAAATGATTACCTAATTTGTCTGTTTATGTTTCGATATTATTATCTCGAAAATTTACCAGAAGTATTTAGTAATTATTTCACCAGGAATGATGAATTCACCATTATAACACAAGAACTTCATCACAAGAACAAACTATGCAAAACAAACCCTTTCTGATAAAGGAGTTAATATTTGGAACAAACTAGATTGTAATTATAAAAATATCAAATTTTATACTACCTTCAAAAAGAAAATTAAAAAGCACCTACTACTCAATAATTAAGCACTGTAAATATAGCCATAATTTCTTACTCTTTCTACTTGTCTCTTGTATATTTGAGCATCTATAGTTATTCTACTTGTAAGTATAGCACTATAGGTATCTGTTCTGTCCTTTATTTAAAGTCTTAAGACTTGACAGTACTTTTGACAATATACTGGTTTTATGAATTTTTGGTGACTTAATTTTTACTCGTATAAAACTATAGGGGCCTTAAATAAAAGCCTGTACAGGTTTCCAAAGGTATCTAGCTCTCTGAAAGTATCTCAAAAGGAAATAAATGTAAGTAACTATGTAATTTGGGCAAATTAAAAAAAATAAAAAAATATGTCTGCATGCCTAGCTATAGTGCCCAAGCCTTTCTGATGCGCTGGTACTCAAGCCTTGCTGATGCGCTGGTACCCAAGTCTTGTTGATGCGTGGGCGGCGCGTGTACTTGTCCTGCACGTGACGTTACAAATTTGAAATTACAACCTCCTACATCAACGTGAAGAAAGATTGATTTTTGTATTCATCGGAAATTCCAATGTATCGTATCGCCCCCGTTAATTGATCCCTGCCTAAATTTCTTGTACATTACCATATTAGTATGAAGTCATTGCGTTGCACTGGAGTATAAAGCATAATTAAATCTTACTGATAGAAAAACAGTCGCACATGAAGAAATTTACAAGATGTATACAAAAATGCTAAAATTTGTGGCAACTTTATGTTAGAATGGGTAGCTTGAGGTCTTCCGCGGTATCTCTATCATAAAATTATTCAGAAAAGTAAATTCCAAGTGCAGCAGG